TTCTTAATATAAAAGATTTTTATTAAAAATAAAGAAAAATGAGATCCTTCCTTCCTCTTCTCCACCCCCCCTCCTCCCTTCTTCCTCCTCATCCCCCTCCTCTTAAGGAGGCTGCCTCCTTGTACTCAGAAGGCTTACGCCTCACGCCTCCAGGTAGTGGAACGCCTTGTGCCATTCCTCCACATTTTAAAACATTGTAGTAAACTAATACAGAATCAATACTTTACCCTTTCTCAAAAGAGAGAGAGAGAGAGAGAGAAGAAAGAAAAGAATCTTCAATTCTTATTGATTTGACCCAAAACCTTTCTAATCCCTCTTAACCCTTTTTAGTACATACATCCTTGAACCCTTTCTAGGCCACCACTGCCATCACATGCATCCTTGATTCCTTGGGTCATCCCAGTCCTAGGTCAAAAGATCTAATGTATGCAGGTATTCTTAGGTGCCATCGGAGATAAGAAAATGTTCCTTCATGGTTATTTGAGTGGGAGATTCAAGAAGGAACATAACAAATACAAGATGGAATTTTGGATGTCAAGAGTGTAAAGAAATCAAGAAGGTAATTAGGGCAATTTACTCTGGGACCCATTGGCCATGCAAATTCAATCAAAGTTGAATTATATGCAGTAACACAAGGTTTGAGACTAGGAAAGACACTCAAGTGCAAAGACTTGATAGTGAATGGAGGATTCATGGGTAATTATTGGGTGGCTCAAGTACAACAATACTGGACCATGGCAAGGGACACCATGAGAGAAGATAACTGGCAAGAGAGCAGAGAACAACATTCACTTGCACAAATTGATCAGCTAACCTAAGATGGATCATGGGGTACTATGGCACAAATTGTAATGTACATATCACCTAGGGTTACAATTTCTGACCCACCAAAGGCAAACCATTTACTTGGCAGTTTGGCAATGGGTTGAATAACCCACTGCATAGATTTGAATGAGTTGGGTTAGGTTTAGTGATGGTTATGATTGGGTCAGACTTCTATAGATTCATGTAGCAAGAATTCAGTCTGTTTCAGTCTGTCAGTGTTGACTCTAGATCTGTAACAAAGGAGACTTGTACAATGGGCTACAACCCAATCAAAACTAAACACATCAGCAATTCATAGCGTTATCAAATGTACCAGAAACTGTTGCATTTATTTCTGAATGAATTGTATAGCACATTTTACACCTCTTGTTTGTAGCAGATATGGTGCCGCCAATAGGCGATTAATGGGTGTGGGTGGTTAACACACTTCAACTACACCCAAGTCAACCCAACCCACCTAATTGCCATCATTAAAATTGGGCATCAGGAATGTTAGACTATTCACTAAGCACAGATGTGGAACCATCCACCAATTAGGTTGGTGCCATAGATGGGCAAGGGGGATGGAAGAGAGTATTGGGCATGAGGGGGCAAGAATCAAATCATAGATACAGGTGCAATTTTGGCAGGTCCAATTTGAGAATTTGTTGAAGTTTGAATGGGCCCATCCAAAAGCCTTTTTTCTTTCTTTTTTTTTATCAACAACACAGAAATGATTCCATTAATAAGAAGAAAGGATTAAATCTCATTATTGATAAAAATATTACATTACATACTACAAATGTTAATCCCAAATTATATGAGATAACAGTAATTAAGATGAAGAAATACATGGAGAAGATAATACTGATAACGAGATACATTTTGAATGAGCACAAACTATAACATATTTTAATACACCTGGGAATGCAGTACTTCTGTCCTATGTAGGTCAAAAGATCTAATGTATGCAGTTCCAGTTTAATGTGCATAATAAATTTATTCACAAGCTGGCATGGAGAATTTTACAATCAATGAATGTTTCCTGGGTTAGAGTCCTTAAAGTATGTGGCTAATAATTATATGTTTCCTAGGAAGTTCAGCTCTAGTGTTTCAAGTATTTGGAGATCAGTTGGGGAAACTCTGCTGGATTTGAGAGATTAGGTTGGGTGGCAAATCTCCACTAATTCTGAGTTGAGTATATGGAATGTGAATTGGACGTGCATTAGTAATAATATTTTAAATTCATTTGGTCCTTCCTTGAGAAATCAAATTAATGTGAAGGTTAAGGATTTCATTTTCACTGAGGAGGGAAAATGGAATGAGCAGAAGATTTATGGTAATTTAGTGATGTTGCTCTCGAAATATTTTGCAAGCTCTTATCTTTAAGGAAAGATAGAATTCCATCTAGACACCATCTCGGTCTGGTAAGTTTAAAGTCAAGAAATTTTATTTGAACAAGTAGTTGACTAAGAATCAATATATGCTTTCAAATATTTTGGGGGTGAATCAATAAAATTTGGTCCCTTAAGTTCCATCCCAGATTTATATTGTCCTGTGGAGAATTTGTAGGAATTTTGTGGCTTGTAAGAACCATTTATTTAGGTTAGGATTGTTCAAGATAATGTGTCCTCTGTGTCAGTCTGAAATCGAAACTCCTATTCATTTATTTTGCTTATGTTCTTTATCTAGGGCAGTTTTTTTTGCAAGTCCTATTCAAGTTATGGTTAGTCAGTTTGCACCTGTTTTGGATTTTTTATCTTGTACATGTTGAATGTTTTGCTTGAGTTGGAAGAGAAGAAAAGATTTCTTTCATGGGTTGCCACTGCTTGGTAGTTTTCTTAACAAGAAAAAGAATGTAAATTGCAAGTTAAGACTTGTTTCTGAAATTGTTAATGTGAATTATAATAATTGAGAAGGGAAATGGTGGGTCTCTTGGTTTACTGAATGCTAAAGTGATGGGGTATTAGAAACAACTGTTGTGGATTCTTTGGGTTTGTGGTATTTTCTAATGAGAGGCATTTTGTTGTTGCTGCAGGTGGCCCATTATCTGTCAATTTGGGAGAACCAGAGGCAGAATTTAAAGCTAATTTTGAAGCTGTAAAGTTTACTTGGGAGATGGGTTGTGGAAAAGTATTTATAGAATCAATTCCCAGCTATCTATTTTGGATTTAAGAGGAGCAGAGGGTTCTATCCCTTGGGTCAATAACCATTTTGTGGACTGTATTAAACTTATTGCTAATAGGTTTGACATATTTGTGTTAATCATATTAAAAGTGATTTAAACTGAGCAGCTCATGCGGTTGCTCAGAAGGCAAAATATTTTGATAGGACTGTAGTCTGGTGTCTCCACCTAGTTGGTTGTCATCTGAACCAATGTTTTAAAATGTGGAGGTGTGACGTGAGGCATTCCACTACCTAAAGGCGTTAGGCATAGTTTAGAACGTAAGAGGCATAAGCCTCTCGAACACAAGGAGGCATAAGCCTCCTTAAGAGAAGGGGGGTCAAGAGGAAGGAGGAGGAAGGGGAGGAGGAAGAAAAGGAAGGGGGGATCTCATTTTTTCTTTATTTTTAATAAAAATCTTTTACATTAAGAAGAATAAAGGTGCATGGCACTAGTTGAAGGGGGGGGGGGTCTTATTGAAGCGGAGGCGAGTGAGCGAATCAAACAAATTGGGCTGCATTGAAAAGGGGGGAGAAGCCCCCCAACTGAAGGGGCCAGGGGCAGACCACTTTCTTTCCCCTAATCTTTTCTTCCCTTCCCTTTCCTTTTCTTTTCTTTTCTTTCCTTTTCTCTTTTTTTTCTTCTCTTTCTTTCTTTTTCTTTCCCTTCCCTTTCTTTTATTTTCTTTTCCTTTCTTTTTTTCTTTTTTTTTTCCGTCTTTTTATATGAGGTGTGCATGAGGCATACGCCTCAAGCACGCTGCACACCTCATGAAAAAAGCGTATGAGGTGTACGCCTCTTGCACCTGATGTGTACGCCTCAGAGGTGTCAACGCCACTGGCATACACCTCAGGGCGTTTTGGGAGTGCCTTGCCTGGAGGCGCACCTCTAGGCGTATGCCTCCCACGCCGTTTAAAACACTGATCTGAACTAGTCGTGAACTATTTTTTTCCTGTTAATACCATTTCGGTTGCCATCTGAACTAACAACGAGTTTATTGTTTGCTAAAACTGCCTTTAGCAAGCTAGAGACTAGAGTCAAGAGAAAAAAGAGGCCTTAGTGGAGACTTAGAAATTGGGTTCATGGGTGAGGAGGTCATTGTGGAGATCAATGAAAGATAAGACAAGGAGAGAGACGCTACATTAGGACATCATGGAACCTACGATATGTGGAGACAGTGCAATCAAGCCGTAGGGCTATTTTTGTACTTTACTTTTCTTTTCTGTACATAATTCTTTGTATTATCTCTCTACTGTACATTAAGGGCAGTTCTGTCCTTTTACAACTTAATATAAATATTTCTTTTAGGGTGTCGACTGGCACAGGTTGTCACACCCACCATTTGGCTGTGTTGTCTCTCTCTCTCTTTCTCAGCTTTTCAATCTGACTCTGACACGATATTTAGGGTAAGAAGAAGATGGAAGTGTTACAAAAGCAAGGGAGGTTATCCCAGGATAAAGGAAGATTGACAAATAAGAAGGTAAGTAGTTTACAGGGGGTAGAGGTAAGAAATGATGGAAAGCATTAGTGTAGTTTTGTTGAGAGAGTTGAATGTCTTAAGTTCAGGTGTGCTTATTGGCTAGTTTAGTTGTCCCAATTCTTCTTGGCATATGAGACAGGTTTGTATAGGCGGTGTCATGGGCTAAGTTGTATGGCTTTTCTCTGCATAGAGCTTCATGTAAGGGTTGGCAGAGCATGGCTATTTTGGCCATTCTTTGTTCTTTGTGAGGCATTTCCTCATGCTTTCTTTTAAAATAATGTTTGCTTTACTATCCAAATACATGTATATTTGCATGCATGTAAATTTGTGCTTATTCTTTTGAAAGGTAACAACACCCAAAAAAAAATCACACCATGTTTTAGATAATTTTTCTTTTTTGTGCATAATACCAGACAACACATTCAGCAATATGGTATATCCAGAAAGTTGAAACATTTGTGAGGTTATAAAATAAAAGGCTATTATAATATAGCTAAAAGAAGAATCATGTAATGACTGATCTAGGATGATGTTCTATGGATTTAGACATGCCTCAAACAATTCAGTCAAAGGATCTTTCTTTGATTCTGGTTGCCTCCTTCTCCTCCTTGAATTACCCTGGAAGTTGTCAAACTCTGATTTGATATTATAACGTGTTTTCTCCAGTAAATCTTCTAGAAACACGTCTGTTACAGGAAAAGTCAATCCCTGTAGAATCAACATATAAATATATAAATAGAAAAAAATGCACTCAACAAAATCTAAAAGAAAATTTTGACACAAATAATAAAAAGAAATTATTGACAACTTGCCGGTATATGGATTGTTGGGGCATTTCCAAAGTATTTGGAGAACATATCAGCGTTGATGGTTGCACTCATTAGAATAAGACGTAGATCTGGGCGCCGAGGAAGAAGATCACGTAAAATTATCAAGAGAAAGTCCTCATTCATGCCTCTTTCATGGATCTCATCCACTAGCAAATGGGTAACACTAGTCAAATCTGGGTCTTGAACCTGAGATTTAAAAAGAAATTTAGAATAAAAAACATGTGAATTGAACTAATTTTACTACAAAAAGAACAATTTATAATGCTGTCCAGTAAACATTTATAATAAGACAGTAATCCAATGAAAAATATCATCCAGAATGGATATGGAGGAAGTCTTACTACTTTTTTTTTATATTACACAATTTTGTACTGAAATGGGGAAAGAAAAGATATAAAATCTGTAGCCGTATAAGACTACTAACAGCCCAATCTGTGGTATATAATCAACAGGAAATTAAGAAGATGAGAGGAGAGAATGAGAGGAGAAGAGAAGAAGAATTCGAAGGAAGGGTTTCAGAAAAGAAGAGGATGCTTAATCTGCTGCTCCCCTCTTTCTATTTATATTAATTCTGAAGTAAGGATAAGACTGCTTACATGGCAAAAATAAAATCCTAATAAAAGACTAATAATTAATTGTGGACTGACTTAAATAACTAATAGTTGTATACGAGTACAATAGAAAGAGATGGGGACAACATCAATGGTTTCTACACTCCCCCTCAAGTTGGGAATAGATGTTTGTCATTCCCAACTTGCATAGATCTGCTTCTAACTTCTTTGAAACTGCCTTGGTGAGAAGATCGGCAAGCTACATGTTGGAGCTGATATATGGAAGACAGACTTCTTGAGATGCAACCTTTTCCCTAATAAAATGTTGATCCACTTCAATTTGCTTGGTTTTGTCATGTTGTACCGGGTTACGAGCTATATTAATAGCATCCTGATTATCATAGCACAACATTAGATGTTTTTCATAGGTAATACCCAATTCATCAAATAGTGATTTCAACCATAGTATTTCAGCCACACCATTTGCCATGGACCGATATTTAGCTTCAGCACTAGAACAAGAAACAACATTCTGTTTCTTACTCCTCCAAGAAACAATGTTACCTCCTACAAAGGCACAATATCCAGAGGTAGACCTTCTATCATCAACGCAACCGGCCCAATCTGCATCTATGTAAACTTCTATCTTCATGTGATTATTATCCTTAAATAGTACACCTCTGCCTGGACACTTCTTTAAATATGCCAATATCCTCTCAACAGCAAGTAGATGAGTAGTTCTAGGAAAGTACATATACTGACTAACAATATTGACTGCATAGCTGATGTCTGGTCATGTAAGACAAAGATAAAGTAGCTTCCCAACTAATCTTTGGAACATAGCTTTATCTTCAAGAGGCTCTCCACCTTCTACACTAATCTTGTGATTCTGTTCAATAGGTGTATCGGCTGGCTTAACACCCAACTTTCCTGTTTCTTCTAACAAATCAAGGACATACTTCCTTTGAGAAATAAAGATTCCATGCTTGGACCAAGCTACCTCAATACCCAAGAAATATCGTAGCTCTCCTAGGTCTTTTACCTCAAAATTTTGATCGAGAAATTTCTTAAGAGACTCAATTTCACAGTTACCGCTCCCTATTACTACAATGTCATCCACATATACAGGAAGTAGAGTCAAGGAAGTATCCACTTTCTTAATAAACAAAATGTGATTTGATTGAGCATGCACATAGCCAAACTTTTCAAGGGCTTGTCTGAATCTATCAAACCAAGCTCTAGGGGACTGTTTTAGTCCATACAAAGCTTTATTTAGCCGGTAAACCTTCTTACCTGTCTCTGTACTATAAAAACTAGGAGGTAACTGCATGTACACTTCTTCTTGCAAGTCTCCATTGAGAAAATCATTTTTAACATCCATTTGGAACAAGAGCCAAGAGTAACTAGCTGCAAGAGATAATAACATTCTGATAGTGGTCATTTTTGCTACTGGTGCGAAAGTCTCCAAGTAATCTATACCATAAGTCTGAGTAAATCCCTTTGCAACTAACCGGGCCTTATACCTTTCAATGGAACCATTAGCATTATGTTTCACAATAAACACCCACCTACGTCCAATCGGTTTCTTCCCTTTAGGTTGATCAACTAGCTCCCAAGAATTATTTCTCAGAAGGGCATCCATTTCTACCTTCATTGCATCCTTCCACTCAAGAATGGTCAGGGCTTCCTGTATTGTTCTGGGAATGGGAATATCAGCAATGGATGTAAGAAAGGACTTGTAAGGGGGAGACAGATGATCATAGGACAAGAATTGTGAGATATAGTGGATTGTGGATGAGGTGCAATGGCGTTTGCCTTTACAGACTGCAATGGGAAGGCCAAGGTCATTCAATGGAAGTGAGGGCTCAGAAGATGGAGAAGGCTCAACAGCAGAAGGCTCATCTGTAATGGGAGATGGAAGAGATGTAGTACCTAGATATGGATCCTCAGAAGGAATTGGAGCTAGCCTGGACTGCTGATGACCGAAATCAACCTACCTCCACCGTTTGTGATAAACTCTCAAATCCCGACATTTTTGACAACCCTCCCCATTACACCCGTTTCACTCAATGGAACAAGTAAAGGAACTTTTGATGTGTTAACCCCAACCTTACTACTCTCCCCCTGAGAAGAAACCCTAGAGTAATAAGGTACATCATCAAAGAAAGTAACATTCATGGATACAAATCTCTTTCCCGAAGTAGGTTCATAGCAGCAGTATCCCTTTTGAGTTTGTGCATAACCAAGGAAAATACATTTTGAGGCTTTAGGGTCAAATTTGGAACGGTGAGGGCCAAGAGTTTGCACAAAGCAGGTACAACCAAAGGTTTTAAGAGGGACAAAAAAATAGCTCTTTATCAATATATAAAAGAGTGAATGGAGGTTTCGTGTCAAAAACCCATGAAGGGATTCGATTGATGAGATACACAGTTGTCAGAATGGCATCTCCACAGAAATGTATAGGCACATTGGAGTTAAATATGATACTTCTAGCTACTTCCAATATGTGCCTATTCTTTCTCTCAGCCACCCCATTCTACTGAGGGGTATGAGGGAAAGTACTCTGATGGATAATCCCATAGTCAAGAAAACAAGAGGCTAGTGATGTTTTAAAGTAATCTCTCACATTACCAAATCTGAAAATTTTGATTTTTACCCCAAACTAGGTTAAAATCATCTAATGAAAGGTCTGGGTCAGGGTAGGAACCTCATCTCAAGAACACATCAAATAGACTCAAGAAAACCGGGTGTAGTCATCAACAAACAACAAGAAGTATCTGTACCCCCCCCCCAATAGCAGTGATGTGATATGGTTCCCAAACATCGGTATGCACAATGTCAAAAGGAACACTACTTCTCTTATTACTTAATGAATAGGTTGTTCTACAATGCTTTGCAAGCTCACAACTTTCACACTTTAAACTGAACATCTGGATAGATTCAAATAAACTAGAAAACAAGCTTTTCAAAGACCTAAAAGATAAATGACCCAACCGGTTATGCCAAAGCATGACTTGACCAATAGACTGAGAAACAAAAGACCCTCTAACTTCACTACCTTCCCACTATGAACTTCCTCTGAGCAAATAGAAGACAATGAACATCCAATCCCAATCACCTTCCTTGTCTCCAAGTCCTGAAAATACATCGATAAGGAAAAAAGGTTACTGAGCAATTTTGGCTTTTAGTAATGCTGCTAACTAAAAGTAAATTGGTGCTAAGTTTAGGAACATGCAGAACAGATGACAGGGAAACGACACTAGACAACTTGATGTCTCCCTTGCCAAAAATGGGAACAAGTGATCCATCAACAATAAACACCTTGTCTTTACCAAAGGATAAGTGATAGGTAGTAAATAATGAAGGCAAACCAGTCATATGATCAGATGCACCTGAGTAACCCAACAATGTTTAGTGTTATCTGGAGCTGAAGCATGATAAGCTGAGGCCGGTGTACCTGAATGAGCAAATGTTGAGGTGGGAGGAGCTGATGTTGTGATTGGCTGGGATGATGATGTTGAATTACCAACCTCCCTTTCCAACTGAGTCAAGGCAGCTCGAACAGCAACTAGAATGTCTAGTGGTGCTGCTCTTGTGCCTGATGAGGTTGCACAATCAGTAGTAACAGTTGTATTAGCATTCCCCTTTTTGTTCCCGAGTTTTGCTGGAACTAGACGAGGATGTAGTTTCCAACATGTTTCTTTGGTATGCTTAGGTTTCTTGCAATGTTCACATATTAGGTCCTTCTTGTCTTCTTTCTTCATATCTCTCTTCTTATCCCCCCCAAACTTGGGTTTAGTTGCTGCCAAGGCTGATTCAAGTGGTGAATGTTGTAACATAACTTTTCTTCTACTTTCTTCACTATGCACTAGAGTGTAAGCTTGTCATAGGGTCACACTATCTCTTGTTAGAAGCTATTGTCTCAAAATGTCATACTCAGAATTCAAACCAGCTAGAAACTCAAATACCTTATTGGTTTCAACCTTCTTTCTGTAGGTCTGTGCATCCTTCTAGCTTTCCCACACAATTGTTTCTAAGTGATCAATCTCATGCCACAAGGATTTCAAGGTGGAAAAATAAACCGAGACTAGTTTCTCTCCTTGCTTAAGGTTATTTACCTTACATATTAGCTCAAAGGCCCTAGCAACATTGAAGGTTTGGGAGCAAGTTTCTTTCATGAGATCCCAAATTTCTTTAGCTGTTTTTGCCCATAAATAATTTCGGTTGATATGTGGCTGCATGGAGTTACACAGCCATGTCATAACCAAATAGTTCTCCTGAACCCATTTGGTATATATTTGGTCCGCCTTGGCTAGTTCCTTGACATCTTTTTTTTTTT